GTTCTATCCAAGCGTGACTATTCTCACATTTGAATTCAGTCCAGGAATCAGCTAGGTTGCGAACACATAGCAACGTACGCATTACGTTTTGCGTCGCGTAGCTGCAGTAGGCACGGATCACCTGCACCCCTCACGATGGCCATAATGGCATGTTTACTAATTACATTTCAATGCAAGACGTGGTTTCCACTCCCTTCCCCCACCACAGTGCCCCCTAAATTCATTGGCCCATGCTACGCCATTGCAGTGTTGCATAGCAGTGTATTGGCGTGTTTAGTATTGGCTTCATGAAGACGAAAGTGATATAACTATGACTACGTAAACAAATAAAATATCTAAGGAGGTTTAAAATGATGTCGTTTCCCACTCGAGACGTGGTATCAGTACTTCAAATGAAATTTAATGATTATTGCTTTGACATTAAAAGATTCTTAATAAAATGTTTACAAGTCGAGGCCTCGCTCATAAAATTGCAAATAAAGTTAAACATAACTTCAATGCAAGGGTCATTTTTAAGTGCTTCAGTACAACTTATTTCATTCACTTGTTTTACGAATAAATGTATTTAATATTGAGATTGCGAATTGCATATATAACGTGTTGTTAGGTGAGGTAACCCATACTCTTTCTCCCACTTAGCAACATAACTGATATGATTGTTAACGCTAAGCAGACATCTATTAAACTGTCTATACCTTAGGGCCTTGTTAGATGAGGTGAGCTTATAATTACTGTTTCCAATTTATTATGCAAAAGAAGCATTTGCAGCATCAATACTATTCTAGTATTAGTTGCAATTACGGTTCTACACTTAACGGTGGCTTCTCTACACTCCGCTGAAAATATTCCTACCCGGCAGAACGTGCACATGATACTCCTATTGGACCAGATGGATGACAAATTGTTTTAAATGATTTTACCAGCTCAAGAATAAATGATTTGTATGATCAGCTATTCCTGCTATCTCTTTTTTTCTAACCCCCTTCCCCCTTGCCATTAGGGCAGGAGGTACTGTAGTTACGTGCTTAACGAACTGAATCCAGAACACCTTAGACAATCCTCTTCAAGATTACATGAAAAAGTTAACACGTTATGAATAACAGGAATATCCACACGGAGTGCAAGTTCTCGTGGCAGATTTGTCCAAGTCACCGAGCTATGTACTACAATGCTCGGTGTTTAAATCCATGCCACATATAAACACTATTGTCCTTTGGAAAGACACTAATTTTCATTTGCGTATCTTCAACACAGTGAAAAGCTGAATCCAGAAACCTTAGACAATCGTCTTCAAGATTACATAAGCCATGTTCAGACGGGGTTTTGCTTGTCGGCGTAAGTTAATCCCTGCAGCATACCAAACGGCGATTCACCTCTTAGACTTACGGATAGTCACATGTGTGTCGTAGTCGAGTGGTTTAAGCACTTGATTGGAGATTCGAAGGTTGTGATTTCGAGCCCTGATCCGACATTATAGTGTCCTTTGGTAAGACATTAATATACTTTTGCCACTCTTTATCCGGATGTTAAATGGGTTCCGGTAGAAATGAATTCATGCAATTCTATATAAAGCACCTATAATCGGTGGTCACGCTCCATCAGCCGGGTGATATTGGAGGATATGAGCGCTGTGAAAAGAACTATACTCTATACTCTATCTAAAATAACGAAAAAGTCTCGTATCACAATAATCTTAGGCAATTTGCATTCCTATAGATTAGTAGGGATTATATACCTCACTTAAGAAATCCAGCCATCTGATTGGTCGAAATTGCATTCATAAACTTTAACTATTTCTGTAAAATTCCCAGTAACCATGGTTAAACAGTTCTAAAATCCCAGTAACCATGGTTACCGGGAAAATAGTTCAGTCTCCATGGTTACCCCATAGGTTTACATGTTAAAAAATGGTTTGAGCGATCGAGGATACCGTACGTATGCGAAGAATTGGTCGGTATTTTCATAAAAGACAAGACAATTCCAAACAAGACAAAAATGGCATAAGAAACTGTCTCAAGATTTCAACTTATCAAATGCAAGACTCGCTGACAGCAAGAACAACAAAAAGGGTACGTGAAATTATCCATAAACATGTTAGTTTAGTTGCTGAAAATGGAGTACCAGCATAGACGTAGACGAAAATAGATCTAGTTGTCAGGGTGTCTGATCGCGCACCCGATGTTGTGTGCTATATTCTTTCCATAGAGATTACACGCAATGCAGTCTCTATGCAGTCTACGTGCATTGCGCGACCATGCAAAAAAAGTCAAGTTTTTTTTGTTCAATTCGATATTCAAACCTTTATCTGTTGTGATCCTGAAGGTGATACTCAATAAGTGAGGTGTCATATGAAAGCGCAGGTTCTTCTCTCTATTCCCCACAGGGCCGGTCCACCCCCAAAATTGTAAAAACATCTTGCTTACACTAGAATCTAGATCTAGTCTACTCTCAAAGATACACTCATAAAAAACAACCGTGCAGATAAACTACAGGAAGGCCAAGGTGGTGTCATTAGTTGCTTCTTTTGTTTTCGGCATATAAAAGTATTAATGACTGCTTTAATATTCGAGAAATAGTTGTTTTTATACGCTCTCGGGATGGTTACAATTGGGCTATTGCCCTCGGCACGCCTCGGGGCAATAGCACAATTCTAACCTTCCCTTGAGCGTATAAAAACAACTATTTCTCTCAAAGCAGTCATTAATACTATACAATTGTCCTTTATTGACACCAAACAATCTGATGCTTTTGTAATATACATTTTGGAGACTTTTTGAGACTCGCTATATTTCTCAGATTCACATACCCATTCAATCTCTCGACTTGATTCCTTTCTACATATCCCTCTCTGTTTTGTTTTGACACACATGCATACGCACACGCACGCACTCTCTCACACACACATCTCACACACACATCTTGTCTTTCCTTCTCTCAGATTGTCTGATCAAAAATAAAAAGTGCTATTTCTTTAATCGTTCAACTTCATTTCCAGAATCAATCTCGCAGCTTACTTCTTCAATAATAAGCTGAACAAGTATTCACTCTACTCCTTGTTCTCTCTCTCTCTCTCTCTCTCTCTCTATCTCTCTCTCTCTCTCTCATTGATTTTTTCTGCTCGTTTTATTGCTGTGTTTATCCAGAATCAATCTTGCAGCCTACTGCTTCAATGCTAAGCTGTACAAGTATTCCCTATACCAGTACAAGAGAGCTTTCGAGGTCTTCAAGGTTTATCTCGGTCCCCTTCATCCGAAATCACAAAAAGGTCGACTAGGCCTTTTTATATTCTATTATCATAATGATATAATGAGTCAAATTAATAATAATAACAATACAAATAATAATAGTAATAATATTGATAATGATAATAATAATAATATTTACAATGTTATATTGTTTTGGTAATTACTCTAAATACATGAACAAATATTGAATATAATATAAATTCAGAGAAAATATCTATATAATGTGCTATATGTTTATTCTCTCTATATACTCGTTTTATGTTGTATATATCATGTCACATGTACATTTTATTTATTTGTCTCTGTGAACAATGCATGTAAACGAAACGAATTTCCTTCTGGACCAATAAATTTGAATTGAATTGAATTGAATTGAAGATTATTTCATCATCAATGTATGTGTTAACAATTGATGACTAGTAGATTGGCTGTTACTGTATATGCAATAATGCGAGAACTGTTTTAGAAAGATTTGATTTTATATCTTCCTACATATACTCTCTTCTCTGAAGTACGTGTTCTACAAAATATTATTGATGGTCATAATAATACTAATAACAGTATGAGCGAATGAGTTTGAAAGTATTGCACACTATCTTCCCATCCAAACATGACCTATGCAGATGGCGTATAATGGACAATGACCAGTGTGATATATGTAAAGAATCAGAAACAACTTTCCATGTTTTGATGAAATGTAATAAGGTTCGATTTTTTTGGAAAATTATTGAAAAGTAATTTTATAATTACTTTCCTGAGAAAATAAATATGAATATAAAAGCATAAGTTATAGGTTATTATATTAAAGAAAAGGAAAACTTTTTTTTAATTAAATTTAATGTAAAATTTAGGCCAATGCATAATATACATAATGTATATCCTAAATCTCTGTGATGGTAAAGAGTATAATAGTAAAAGTCTGTTTATTAATTTTAAAAAAAACTACGATATTACAGAGTAAATGAGCAATTTTTTTTCTTCTTGACGAAACACAAAAGATTATTTAAGAAATTTTAAGGATATAACTATTCATTTAATCACTTTTGTCTTTTATATTATATCATGTAAATTGTAAATTGATAAGGATATATATATGATGATCAGTATGTGAAATGTAAGTTTTAAACAGACGTAAGAAAGAGCAAAGTACTTATTCCCCGAATACCCCTCGAAAATTTAGGATCATTTTCTATTTAAGTAAATATGTGTGAACACTTATTACAACAACACGGCGTAACCCCCCTAATATTAAACTGATACTAAAATGAGTAACACTGTTTTGAGGGAGCTGTAATTTGTGTCCAAATTTGTGTCCAAAGTGAAAAAAAGCTCAGAAGCTGTGTGTGATAAGATACAAAATGTAATGTGCGGTGCTCTTAAAGGTAAAGACCAGTTATGGTCATGCGATTGCATTGTGAACGAAACGTTGTGGAATCGATCAGAAAAGGTTAATCATCTGCATTTAGCATCTGCAAGGTTCTGGAATCATCAAAATGATAAGAAATTCGGCCCATTCTTCGTAAAGTTACAAGCACTATACACAGAAAGATGTATATGGGACTACCCTATATCTCTCACGGACCATGAGAGAAACAAATTTACCAAATATATGAATTAGTAGGCGGTTTCCCGGCAAATTTTGTATCATCATGTATTAGTCAAAACATATTCTTTCACATGATTGGTAATGAGAACTTCCATTTCACTTTTTGATGGGGCGTTTCCAATACTGGTCTTTACCTTTAAGTGTGCTTTACGAAACCCCGCGGTAAACCGGCACCTTCTTATCACAGGCCTTTGTTATTTACGTCGGGCGAAGCTTCATCTCCGTCTTCTTGAGGGAGTATAAATTACCGAGCCATTTACTCCAGACCACACCCATGGCGTGCTCTCTCACCGTGGTTGGACCTTTCAAATATAGGCCGTTGAGGTTCGCACGATGGCAGTCATTGTACCACCAGCCTCCTTTGTACTTGTCAGCGCAGTGTTCCGGTAAACCATCATGATCGCGGTCCCGTGTACTGAACGGATAACCTGCATGATGCCACATACTGTCACCTGCACAGAAATGAGAAATTGATTTATGGTATACACATTATATAAATTAGTTAAATATATATTTGATCTCTCCGTACTCGACTTGATGCGGCGTGTATGTATTGTACAAAGCTGTCCGTTCGTCCGTCCGTCCATTAATGAATGATGTTTCTTCTGTATTCCGCTGTAACAGACGGATGCGTTTGGGAGCATTCGTTATTAGTCATGGATACTTTTCTCAACCCCTTACTCCCCGACCTGATATCCCTTTACGGGTTAAAGAAAAAAAGCAAGCAAAAACAATCAACAACACACCCCTTCCTACCCCCTCCCCTCGCCCAAAACACCGCCTGTTGTTTACCTCGTCATATGTGAGAGAACGTTTGATGGTTAATAACGTTTCACCGTAACACAGTATATTTACTACATATACATGAATTACGGTATTACCCTATGACACTATTAACGTATAACCGCTTAATCGTTAAACCGCGTAACTGTATGATTGTATTACCGTAGGGGCTTTAACCGTATTACAATGAACCATACTGACAAATTACAGTATTACAGAAATGCCTTTTTACTGTATTACCGTATTAGCTACCTTATTAACATATTACCGTATAACATATCATTAAGTACCATATTACCGTACCTTTGGGGATTCTGCGATTTCACATTGGTCCAATATGACAAACCCCCATTTATTTCATGTCGGAAAAAGAAAAAGAAACACCTTAATTGATTTTACGGTTTAATAATATTAGTGATACCAAGAGGAACCATATTTTTTATGAATTAAAATGAATAATATAATGTACAGGACACATTGCATGGGATCGCCCTATTTGATACCTGCGTCTCCGGAGTAGTTACCAAGGGCCAGAATGTACTTTGCGACCTCCCCCGCAATACTGAAATTGCTGTAAGTGGCATAGCGCGTTTGTTCATCGAAGTCTTCGAGGTCGATCCGTAGCTCGTAATAACGTAAGTGATACTACGAGGAACTATATTTTTGAATAAAGCCATGCACACGACACATTGCAGGGGATCGTCCTATTACCTACCTGCGTCTCCGAAGTAGCTGCCAAGGGCCAGGGTGTAATTTGCGACCTCATCTGCAAGACTGAAATGGTTGTAGGTGGCATAGCGCGTTTGTCCATCGAAGTCTTCGAGGTCGATCCGTAGCTCGTACGTCTTATCATGGGAAAGACGATGGATGTTGTCGTTACCGAGCCAGTGCTCGGAGGAAACGTTTCCAAAACCGTATTTGTAATCGGACCAGTAAAGAGAGAAGTCAACAGAACCATCTTGTCTACGCTGGAAGACCTACAAAGAAAGCGGGTGGGAGGAATAGGGGAGAGAGAAAAACAGATAGAGACAGATAGAGAGAGAGAGAGAAAAAAAGAAGCAGAGAGAGAGAGAGAGAGAGAAAGAGAAAGAAAGAAAGAAAGAGAGGGACAGATATCGAGATATCGAGAAAAAATAAAAGAGAGAAAGATGAAGAAAGATGTAGAAAGAAATGGAGAGAGAGAGAGAGAGAGATTGTGTGTGTGTATTGAAAAATAATTAAGAACACTTATTGCACTTCTGATGATTTAAGATGCGATGTGTGTTATCAAAGTTTATGGAATTAGTTTCGAAAAGTGTAGCAACACGAAGAAGAGTGGCTGTTATCACATTTCGCTCCAATCATAAGGATACGGAGTCTAGATTGTGAGCTAAGAAGAATGCGATGGCAAAGACTTTTAAAAAATTAACCAAATCAATATAAATAACCAATATCGATTCTGTTCTTCATGAGGGCCCTTCAATTCACCCCAGCAATTATAAAATACCCGTTAACACCAGGGTGAAGAGTGGACAATGTTGATGAATGAAATAGGACATAGGGTATATAATGCCCTTAAGTTGATTCTTAAAGGTAAAGACCAGTTATGGTCATGCAATTGCATTGTGAAAGAAACGTTGTGGAATCGATCAGAAAAGGTTGATCATCTAGCATCTAGCATCTGCAAGGTTCTGGAATCATCAAAATGATATGAAATTTGGCCCATTCTTCGTAAAGTTACAAGCACTATACACAGAAAGATGTATATGGGACTACCCTATATCTCTCACAGACCATGACAGACACAAATTTACCAAATATATGAATTAGTAGGCGGTTTCCCGGCAAATTTTTTATCATCATGTACTAGTCAAAACATATTCTTTCACATGATTGGTAATGAGAACTTCCATTTAATTTTTTGAAATTGGGGCGTTTCCAATACTGGTCTTTACCTTTACCACGATCCATTTTCGAAAAGTCAACCAGAGGACAATTGTCCCATATAATTCCTTTCCCGGATTACGTAATACTTCATCGTAATGTTCGCATACTTCAATAGATGATGCACAAGGCAAGAGTAATTTTTTAATCTTTGCGATCATGTTAAAAGTAGATGGGGTTGATTAAGATGCCATTCTAGCTATCACCGTCATTTCTCACCGTCCAGCGGCCACCGTCCGTTTCCGTATCGCAGTACACAGAGAGAGGATCACCACCATCCCCATGGGGATAGATGGGATGCACTCCGCTGAGATGGGATAGTCCACCAGTCTGAATCTCAGCGCAGTCACGTGGGAGTCTAGGAACTACTAGATAGTATGAGAGATACCAAACTGATAGTATGAGAGATACCAAAAAACCACAGTCCATGGTATATCATCTGAGTTTTTACCTATTCAATCTGGAATTCCACAAGGGTCCATCCTTGGACCTCTTCTCTTTATTATGCACATCAACGATTTACCCTTAGTACTAAAAAATTGTAAAATAAATATGTATGCTGATGACACTATTTTATATTATGCTAGTAATGACTTTTCTGAACTGGAAAACAAAGTAAACGAAGATTTAGTAAATGTGAAAAAATGGCTTGATGTCAATAAGTTAAGTTTAAATATAAATAAAACAGAATACATTGTACTAGGAACAAAAAATCGTCTTAAACTAGCACGTAATACAAATTTGAATATTAACATAGATGGAACCCCTCTGAAAAGAGTTACTACATGCAAGCATTTGGGAGTGATTGTGGATGAAACTTTATCATGGACAGACCATATTAAATCTGTACAAAAGAAATGTAGTAGTGGATTGTATATGTTAAAATCAATACGTAATATTGTTGGTAAAGATACATTGAAATTAGTATATAATGCATTGATTGTATCCCACCTCTCCTATTGTGATGTAATATGGGGAAACTGTGGAAAGTGCCTTCAAAATGATCTCCAGAAACTTCAAAATCGGGCAGCTCGAATAATAAATGATACCCCTTGGGATTCATCGGGAAGCTACAACCTTAATAAACTTGGATGAGATACGCTTGAACAGAAAAGGAAGGAAAATATCGCTTTAATGACTTTCAATATACTTAATAAAAAAGCCCCTTCTTATTTAATTGATAAATTTTCGTTCAGAGAAAGACCACATAATACGAGAAGTGGCAATCTATGTATTAAGACAATCCAGCCTAAAACGGATAGTACCAAACGCACATTTGTGTACAGAGGCGCTTGCCTATGGAACTCACTACCACACGAAGTGCAAGCTGCACAAACCAAGTACAGTTTTACAACAGGTCTTAAAAGAATAACCAATTTATAATTATATACAATATACTATGCTCAAATATGTCTATGAACTTTCGAATGTTTCCTTTTTATTTTTGATGTATCCATTTTGTGTTGTTTGAATTTATATTGTTGTGTATGCATCTGCTCGGGTATTTTTAAATTTCCATATGATGTAATATAGTTTCATTTTATCCGAAAATGATTAAATAATATAGTTTTATCTGCTGTGCTTGTTATTCTAATTCATTTTTAAGTGTTCTTTTACTGACTTGAATAAAATAAAATTGTAATCATATCCTTAATTGTAATAATGCAGTATCTTGACCGGCCACATTTGATTTTATTTTTTTAATATATCATTTCTGGCAGTTTATATGCACTAGTAACAATTTGTATTTCCTATTTTAATTTGAAGTATATTTATAGTACTCTTGTTTTGACACTCATACTTATTGTTATCCATATACATATACTTTTTCGGCAGTACTATTCTATTGTTACATTTTTAGATATTTATCTTGATCATTTATTGTTTGTTTTAAATATGTCATTGATGTACCATTATCATTTTTATGTTAATTCGATGTATTTACATTGTGTCACACGGCCCCAATGGAAATCAGTCTTGTAACTGTTTGGGCTTTTTTAACCGTGTATAAATAAAGATATCAATTCAATTCAATTCAATAGGAAATACAAAGGTGTCGTAGTTAGAGAGAATTGAATTTCTTTGGACCGGCCTCTCATAGGAGAAGGTCTCGGATTCGATCCTTGCTTGGTACTTACATCCTTGGACAAGGTTTACTTCCGACCCAGGGAGATATATATACATGTCTTGTCTGTTTAATTTTGCTACAAGGTGTAATAAATGGGCACCTGACTGGTTCTACAGAGAGACCTTCTTAATGTCGAGAGCTCCGGAATCGGTAGCCTAGCAAATAGAGACAATAACTTAGAAAATATTGGAGTTTTTTGAGCACCTTACGTGGTGGATGAGAGCCCTGGACAGGAATTCAATATCAGCGACGTAGTATAGGGATGGTGTTATAACAAAAATATAGTTTAAAGAAAACGTAATAAAGAAAATTTCAAGTTGACAAGTAACAGGAGGAGTGATCATACCACAATGCGGACTTGGAGGGCATTGAATTAAATATCTCATTGTAAGAAAAAATACGTTTAGACTAAAATGGCCTTATGAATCTCCATTTAATCGTGATCAACAATTGCTGCTATTTAGTGCCTCAAAAGATGAGGACTACAGCGTGTGAATCAGTTATTCCAAAGGACCCTTGTACTGTTCATATTTTATTAATTTTGTCGACAATTCCTGAATGTTAATCTTCCATGGTGCGCCAAACACCGCACAAATCACTGATTCAGCCATGCGTCACAAGAATGGCGCTTCGTGTACAAGAGGCATGTAACGGTTATAACGCCGGACGTTGAGCGGGAGGTGTCATTCGCCTGACGTAGGACTGCGTTAGCGACCTTTGTCGTCTTCGACGCGTAGTATGAGGGAGACACCGTATAGACAATAATACTTATAAATTAATAGCCATCATAGATTTGATAAAAATAGCACAATCCTACGCCAGGGAATTGAAACCCCGTGTACACCGGGAATGCTATGAAATGCTCACCGTCCGTGGCGGTGACTTGCGTCATTTCGGCCGGTATGATCGTAGACATTTCCGTGAGGTCAGCCATAACTGAGGGTGCTTCTGCCGTGACACAAGATTCATAGAAAGCATTTAATAATAACAGTTATGATGATGATAATAATAATGATCATAATGATAATAATAATATAAATCACGATCATAATAAGAAGAAGGAAAACAAGAACAAAAACAAGAAGAAAGAGAAGAATGATAAGAAACCAATTATGGCCTTTAGGTGTGGGGGTATTGAGGGTACCAGGGGGGGGGGGGCACCTAATGTATTACGTTCAACAAATGTAAATAAAGAAGGCCACCTGTTGCCAGTGATTTTCTGAAACGAGAAACGTGCGATTTCTCTATGTATAAAAATATATGTGGATATTCACGTTCATTTGAAAATCATATTTTGATTCCGAAATGATCTACAGGGCCAACAAATACCCCCACTAGTGGTAACATGAGATTCACAGTGTTAATATTTCAGCTCTCAGAATTCTGGAAAGATGTATCAAACAAACAACTTTAACAAAGCAAATATCGAAATTTGTCTAATGCTGGTACATTTTGTTTGTTTGTTTGATTGATTTTATTTCTGCGTTCAAAAATATACAAATTCAAATTCAAAGTACAAAATTTCGAACAATAACAAATACAATGAATACAATGTTTACAAAAGTAATTAAATGAAAAATCATGTTCAATTATATCATTCGATAAACATGTACGAAGCATACAATAACATAAGAAATATGAAATATTTTCAATAAATTAGAGAGGTAATTTGGAACGCAGGAGACCGCCATCGTGAGCGGTTAGGCTGGAGATGGATGGCGGCCTCGTAAAAAGAATTGGCGACATAACTCTCTTCGAAAAACTGAGTGACCAAGAGGGTGCGGTGCAAGTGCAGGTGCAGTGAGCAGTTGCATGATAAAGAATAAATAAGTCACGGTTTTGTTATACTAATTTAGAGAGGGGGAGCGTATGATTGTATTATTTGTCGTTTAAGTGTAGCTTTTAAGGAGTAGATGGTTGAACAAGACTTTATGTTGTCGGGTAAATCATTCCAAATGTCCGGGCCAGAATGTCTAACAGATTTGTGTGTTATTGATAATTTGGGGTTTGTAAGATGGAAGTTTCCAGATATGCGAGTAGAGTATGAATGAACGGAATTATTAAACCTAAACATGTTATCAAAGGATGGTGGAAGCAGATTATTAATGTACTTAAACATAATAACTGCTACTTGAGTAGTGTTCAGATCGAAAATTTTTAGTGTTTTAAGTTTATAGAATAAAGGATCAGTGTGAGCTAAGAAATGCGAACCTGTACAAATACGTATGGCTTTCTTTTGCAGTTTGAAAATAGAATTGATTTTTGTCGAACCACAATTTGCCCATACACTATTACAATATGTTATATACGGGAGAACTAGCGAATTATATAGTAGGAATAAGGTTGCATGGGGTAGAAGAAACTTTAACTTGGAGATTATTCCAATACTTTTGGAAATGCACATTGTAACTTGGTGTAAATGATCATTCCAAGTCAAGGTTTCATCTATAAGAACACCCAAAAACTTGGAATTAGTTTTCTTCTCTAGTAGCATACCATCGATTTTAATATATATAGGTGTTTCTGTATTATGAGAATGATGTTTAAAATACATGAAATGAGTCTTTTTTGTATTAAGTGAAAGTTTATTGGATTTAAACCAATCTGATACTTTGTTAATTTCATAATTCAAAGTATTGTTTAACGAATTAAGGTCTTTATGGGAATAAAAGATATTTGTATCATCGGCAAATAAGATAAAAGAAAGAAGGGGGGATGTATTGATAATATCATTTACATAAAGAAGAAATAACAGTGGACCTAAGATGGAGCCTTGAGGAACACCGCATTGAATTAAAAGAGGATCAGAATCATAACTATTAAATGTAACATATTGTCTTCTGTTTGTTAAATAATCTTTAAACCATAAGAGTGGCTGACCCCGAATTCCGTAATGACTGAGTTTGGAGAGTAGAATAGCGTGATTGAGCGTATCAAATGCTTTACTCAAGTCACAGAATATACCTATAACATGCTCTTTGTTAGCTATGGCACTTGTAATTTTGTCATAAATTTGAATTAATGCTAAGTCAGTTGAGTAATTTTTTCTGAAGCCATATTGATTTGAATTGAGTATTTTGTGTTTAGTGATAAATTTGTGTAGCCTATTATGAACGATCTTTTCTAAGACTTTAGATATACTTGGGAGTAGGGAAATTGGACGATAGTTACTAATTTCGTGAGGATCATCTTTTTTGAGAATGGGGTTGACTTTAGCTAGTTTTAATAAATCAGGGAAAACACCTTGCGATAACGAGTGATTAAATATGTGAGTTAAAGGCTTTGCAAGTGGATACATTATTTCTTTTAGGAGAGACATACTTATTTTATCAAAACCGTGCGATTTTGAGTTGTTAAGAGATTGGGTAATGTTAATAATTTCGCTAGGATTTGTCGGATTTAAAAAGAGGGACTCTTGGTTTTGATTGGAAAGATAGTCTTTAAAGTGTGCGTGAGTTCTATTAATTTTGCTGGCGAGTTCTGGGCCGATATTCGTAAAAAATGAATTAAATGAATTTGCATGAAGACTAGGATCATGTATTTTAGTGCCATTTAATGTGATATTATCCGTGGGTGGGGGATTCGTTTTTTTCCCATTACCTCTTTGATAATTTTCCAAGTTGCAGTTGTGTTTGAACTGGCCTTTTTTATTTTATTAGAAAAATGCAATCTACGGGATGTACGGATAAGTTTTGTTAATTTGTTTCGATAAATTTTATATGTGTTTAGGTTAGTGTCAGTTGGATTGTGTAAATGTAATTTGTAGAGGCGATTGCGTGTTTGTATTGATTTCAATAAACCTTTAGTTATCCAAGGATTCCTGGGTTTATTTCGCTTATTACTCATTTTGCCTAAAGGAATATTCTTTTCATAATAATATTGCAATTTGTTACTAAAATGTTTATATGCAGTATTGACATCATTTACACTATATACCTCAGCCCATCCCTCGAAAAATAAATCCTGTTTCAGCAATTCTATATTACGTTTGGATTCTTTGCGATATATAAGCTCATCAAATGATTTACGGCCAGATAGTTTGCATTCACAAGTTAAAAATATGGGTAGGTGATCCGACACTTCAGAACACAATATTCCACCGATGGTTTTGTTGTTATGTACGTTTGAAAAAATATTGTCAATCTGAGTTGATGAATGTGGATTTATTCTGGTGGGTTTATTAATAATCGAAAAAAAGCCGTATGAATGCATCAACTGCATACAATTGGTTGAGTTACTGTTATCAGATGAGGGTGAGAAGTTGATATTAAAGTCACCAAGGATAAAATTGTGTTTATTTTCATCCCCTATTTTATGAAGATAAAAATCCAGTTCGTCACAGAATAAATCACAATTAGAATCAGGGGGTCTATAAATCAAACCTATGATGACGTTTTTGGCATTTGAGTTATTAATTTCGATAAATAAAGATTCAGCTTGTGTTAGTTTAATATCTGAACGGATTTTGAAGTTTATGTTTTGTGTAATATAAAACGCAACACCGCCACCTCTTCTTCCTTTGCGGTCCGCCCTAATCAACTTATAATTAGGCAAATTGAACATATCTGGAGAATTCTGATGTAACCAAGTCTCACTTATTCCAATGACGGAAAATGCAAAATTATTTAAAGAGTGTAAAAGGTTTTCAACGTATTCGAAATTTTTGTTCAGACTTCTGGAGTTTATATGTAAAAGTGAAATATTGTCTGGTTTGTAAGAAAATGAATTTTTGAATTCTTGGGGTGTGTAGTATTTGCTCTCGTTTATATCGTCGACAAGAATATCGGGAGTGTGCGCGTGCGAATTCATTTAACGATACGTATTATGTAAAGTACCGAAAATTTGGAGGATGAACAACTGCATGTGTGATGCTGGTGCGTTTGTGTGTGTACGAAGTGCAAGTGTGCGGGTAACTTCAAAATATAACACAAATAAAAATACAATAAGACCCATCTTGGTCACAGTTACAATAATTGCTTAGGAGCAACAGAGCGGAGCCCGACCGCCCGAGTAAAGGGTGTATTTTTGACACGCAAAATAGAGGGGCTGGGAAGAAACAAAATGCTTGATAACAATAATGACAAATCGGAGTACGATTATTAAATGGCAAAGAGGGATTTGACATTCCCGCTCATCAAAACTAGTTCAGTCTATAACAATGGATTTTGTGATTGACACAGGAGTTTTGCAAAACAAAGAGATTTGTTGTGCGGAGGAGAAAAATGTATGCATGTTAAAGCAGACTCTGAGATGATGCTTAATAGCAATAACGTCATTTCGGAGTACAATAATATTAAATGGCAAAGAGGGTTTTGACATTCCCGCTCAAAAAACAAAAAAAGTTCAGTCAATTACAATATAACAGATAGACTCAAATTTTTGGAATGCTATACAGATAATAATTATTGATAAAGAGTGAGGACTTCGGTCTTGATAATACCAGTCGTCAAGATCAAAGGATAACGAATACTTGTCTCAAGCCCATTTGAGGGTAAAGAATACATTCCTGCATGATACAAAGTTCTACTGCATGTCCCCTGGAAGGAATACAATCATGACAATTTAGGATTAGTGACAACCGTACAATTCTTTCAAGATTCAAATGCTTTACCCATTTGGACAATCGAATTTTCCATCATGATAATTGTCACATACAAAAACCAAAAAAATAAAAATAAACAAATAAATTGAGTTTTGAGAAGAAAGTTAGGCTTGTCAAACAATGGACCCATCGCACCCATGCGTCGAGTATTTCTGAGATAGAGCACCACTGCGGACCAACATGAAGATTGGTCAGCCGTGGCGCGGAGAAGCCACGCCCAAACGTTAGACACATGTGAACGATAAGTCCATGTATTTGTTACATTTTAATAAGCCCATCATATACGAATCGCGTGACTGACACGGGTGTTTTGCAAATCAAAGAGATTCGTTGTGCAGATGAGAAA